TGCCTTACGGTCTATTACAGTCAATAGAAGTCCACAGACCATTTCACACAGTTGGGATGGACATAACAGGGCCATTCAAAACTTCAAGAGGTTACAAGTACATCATTGTAGCTATTGATTACCTCACAAAGTTCGTGGAAGCAAAACCACTCTGGAACTCTGAAACATAGAGACCGAAACCGTCTAAAAGTTTGTCGAATGACAGATTATTTTAAAGCACGGATGCCCAGCCATAATTATCACAGACCGCGTTACTCAAATGATGGCGCGCTCTACTGAAGCATACCTCAAACATCGGGGAATCAGGCATGCTGCCACTACCACATATCACCCCACAGCAAACGGCTTGTGCGAAAGAGCCAATAAGACAATCAGATGATTGCAACGACTACCGCCGGGGGTGAAAAATGGGCCGTTATCCTCCCTTATATTGTATTCTGTTACAACGCCGGGTACCAAGACACGGTTCGCCAAACTCCCTTCTTCCTGGTCTACGGCAGGGATACGGTGCTACCATTACATTACAAATATGCTGCAGTCTAACCCGCGGCCTTTTTGGAAAGCGATTAAGCCTGATAATAAAAGTGCCATTTCACTATGTGATAACACCGGGACACCCATTGCTGATTCCGAAGTTCCCGACGCACTGAATCTAGCGTTTTGTTCAGTGTTCACAAAAGAAAGTACAGATGCATTACCACACTTTCCATATTTCAATTTTCCTCCAATGAAGGGTATTGAATTCAGAGCAGAGGGCATTGTCAAGGTCATTGACTCCCTGAAGTGCTCTTCATCCTGCGGTATTGATGGAATCAACGCGAAAGTACTAAAAAGTACAAAATATGTGTGCAGTGCGATTCTTTGTATTATCTTTCAGCACTCACTTCACACAGGTACAGTGCCAGATGATTGGAGGACAGGAAAGGTCATTCCAGTCTTCAAAAAAGGTGACCGGTCTTCCCCTGTAAACTACCGTCCCATTTTCCTCACCAGCATACGCTCCAACATCTTGGAACACGTCATCTACTCTCAAGTTGCTCATTTCCTAAGCTCGGTGAACTTCTTTATCCAAATCAACATGGTTTCAGGAAGGGTCACTCATGTGAATCTCAACTTGCTCTATTCACTTATGACATTCATTTAAACTTAGACAGTAACATTCCAACCGATGCTCTATTCCTAGATTTTGAAAAGGCCTTCGATAAGGTTCCTCATTCTCGTCTTTTGTTTAAATTGTCGCGCCTAAACATTCATCCGCTTGTTCGCAATTGGATTGAGTGTTTCTTAACCAACCGGAAACAGTTCGTATGCGCTAACAACTACACATCATCCACTTCACCTGTTCTGTCTGGCGTGCCTCAAGGCACTGTTCTAGGGCCACTCCTCTTCCTAAGCTACATCAACGACCTGCCATCTACTGTAACCTCTGAAATACGTCTTTTTGCAGATGATTGCGCCGTGTACCACCCTATCAATAACTCCTCCGATGTTTTTACTCTTCAGGAAGACCTACTTCACATTCAAGACTGGTGTACCACATGGCTCATGTCACTGAACACCAGTAAGACCGTGAACATTTCATTCCATCGTCGACCCAACTATGCACCCTCCGTGTATAAGATTAATAGCAGCATTATAGCTAATGTGCATTCCTTCAAGTACCTAGGACTTCACCTGTCTCAAAACTTATCTTGGACGGATCATATTCCCCACATTATCAATTCAGCGAACAAAATGCTTGGTTGCCTTCGCCGAAACCTTTTCATGGCTCAGTCACATGTATCGCGACTTCTGCAAACTGATATGTGATTGTGAAACAATAATGTTGTTCTGATGTTTTTTTTTTCTTTTTTTGTTGTTGATGTTGCGTGTGTCACATTGTAGCTCTGTTTTGTTTAGCGGTGCACCTCGGTCCAGATTTCTCCTGCTCTTTCCAGTCATGTCTTGTATATTATTAATAGTTTTTATCAGTGTAGGTCTGGCTTGGTACCAAACAAGTTGTTAAAAGTACCTGCTGTCACTTTGTTGATTGCGTAATTGTATATTTTTTGTTTTTATTTTGTTCCCGCTCATTGTTGCGGTTGTTTTGTGGACGTATTTGCGTATGTTCTCGTATTCTTTTATTTGTTCTGCCCGCTCCTGCCAAAGGCCTTTTTTAAAGGCTGGCAGTAAATCTGAAAATAAATAAATAAAAATAAATAAATAAATAAAGATTACTTGCATACATAACGCTCGTGTGACCTAAACTTGAATGTGCCTCTGCTATTATTGACCCCGGCCAATATAATCTCACTAAAGCTCTCCAATCAGTCCAGAACCGTTCCGCCAGATTTATCCTTTCTGAGTAATCGTATCACACAAGCGTTTCGTCTCTAACGTCTAAGCTGGGGCTGGTGCCCCTTGCCTCTCGTCGCCGCATCTCACGCCTTTGCCTCTACCGCAAATTCCTTCACACCATGCCTCGTGACAGTCGGTTGATTCAACTGACTCTTCGTATATCCCGAACAAGCCACCTGAACGCAGTAATTCCACCCCGTACCCGCACCACTACATTCCATCAGTAATTCTTCGTCAGAACTGCCCGAGACTGGAATGGCCTTCCAAAAGATGTTGCACTTGTCCGTGATGCAACACGCTTCGGATATACAATCGAACATACACGAATTGATGCCTTTGGACTTGCCTTTGTTAAATGGATTGTCTTATTTTTATTGCCGCCATTTGTATCTACATTTTGTATTTTAGTCTTATTGATGTTTATTGTTATAATGTTTATCGTTTTCCCTTTACTTATGATACCCACCCTTCATGTAATGTCCCTCAGGACCCTTGAGGTAACAAGTAATATATAAATAAATAAATAAATAAAAAAACATGTTTTATACAGTCGCCGAGAGCTTGAAGAGCTCAAAGAAGATTCAAACTATCTCACGGTAGTGCGTGAACGCCTACAAAAGCCAGGGAGCTCGAAGTCTCACACACCCGACTAGCTAAAAAAACAGAAGCAGCACAGTTTACATACAGTTTAGCCAAAACTCGGGCAGCTTGTTCTGCCTGATAGGCACAGTGTGTGGTCTGCAATCATGGTTCATATGAAGACCAAGCAATGCAAAAGAACTGCTCTCATAAATTGCATGGGTGCATAATGCTTTTCAAGGAATGCAGTTACTAAAGAAGACAAGTAAAAATACATTGGCAATGTCAATAAAAAAAGCTGAAGATGGCGACCTGTGTAGAATATTTTTGATTATTTTTGATAGTATGGGGACCAAAACAGACCGCAGTATCTTTGTTAGGTCTAACCAAAATTGTGCCAGCTATTTGTGCATTCGTAAGAAAACAGAAACATCAGCACTGTCGGATGATGCGAATAAGTGCAAGTCTCTTTCCACCACTTTGCTGGTGATTCTATGCACTGCCTCACAGAGATTGCTGGCCATCATCGCTGGCACTCGCATGCAAAAAACGGCACGTGCCGAGCAGCGGACAATGCAGAAAGGCCACAAAAGCACACGATTGGCACTGAACTCTGGTCTGAACCCGACCATCAACGCAAGAGCAGAGCTGCAGAACACCAGCTGTAATAGGGGCCCCGAACAAGTACAGTACATGTGTCTGTTTCTTTATGCACTGTTTTTTCTCTGCAAGGCTTTCAAATGTGTACACAGCAAGAAGACAAAAGCTTTGCTGGTATGGAGGGATTCTCCTTCCATGGAGTCTGCTTTTTTCACCCTGACCTAATCTGTGGAAGCTGGCAACTAAAAAGGGTCATGGCACAGCTAGTCTCCGTTTGGGTTGGAAAATTTCGATTAAGGCGATGATTTAGGTAAGGCACTTACTCTAACTATTCATGAGAACTAACAGACAATAACTATTATTGGGAACTAATAGACAGTTTTCACTAATATTGAGTCTAACAAAGAAAGATGAGCCCTTCAAAAATAACATTTTTCTTCATTTACTATAGCGATGTTTCATCAGAACATACACAGAAAAAAGTATGAGGGCATGTGAAGGCGTTATTTCACTTTTTCACTAAGGTGTAGTGTAAATATGAGATGAATCACACTGGACAGATAAACAATGCACGGCAGGGAGATCTGATTGCAACTGACCAACAAATGACTGAGATCTAGTAATGCGTGTTGCATGCACTGCCGCTTGTTATGTTTTGCAAGTAGCCTGGACCCCTATAGTGTAACTTAAGATGACAAACAATTGTTGTCCTATAGGCTCTACTAAACTTCTTAAACCGCGAAGATTTTGATCCTTCATCTAAACTAAACTGTCACATTAAACACTCCGCCCAGCTCGATTGCTTCCCTGAATCTCTCAAAATTTCGGCCATTCTTGTTATCGATTGTTGCTTTTTCATGTTCATGCCACTGTACATTTCAACTATTCTCTTTATATTTTCAGAGCATTGTTCCAAAAATTTTGTATTACTTCATGCAATGTGATTGGTACGTGTAAGTTTATTTGGTATTCTTTATGCATGATTGTCATTCCTGCTGCTTTGCCGACTTGTAATGAGGTTGAGACCTCGTCAAGTTCTTGAGCTTTTAGTCCTGTACTCCTCCTATCAAAAAGAAATCAAATGTTTGATTACTTGATTGATTGCTTGACTGATCAAAAATTTTACTGCATGCAAAGCAGGCAGTGAAATTCACCTTCACAAGTTGCAGAGAGGCCAGCTTTTGTTGTAGCCTGCCAATTTTTCTTTTCTGCTAATGCAATCCTTTGGAGAGAGGAGGGTTCTGTCTTTTTAATGTCCGTAGAAAAAGTGAGACGGTTGTTGATCCCCAGGATGTACAATGGTGCTCAATAAAACTTGCAACACAGGAACGTATGCCCAGTTCAAAAAACACTTCTCTCATTTGACCCGAAATAATTAAATAATATTTAGTTTTTGAAATAAAACAAGCTCTGCACGACCTTTGAACTCCCTCGTTACAAGTGAGTATGGAAATACATTTGTTCATTTCTTCTTGCAGACTGACCTCGGTGGCCGCATGGATGTTGAGAAGGGTCTCCAGGGGCCCCCGAGTCTGGTCCATGAGGTAGCGCTCCGAGCGGCTCCTCACCACCATGCTGTCCAGGGGAAGCTCCACCGTGCACACAAACCGGTCCCCGTCCAGGCCCTCGATACAGCACACCCTGCGCAGAACCACGTCACACCTACTCTGTGCACAGACATGTGATCAGCACTGTGGTCACTAGGGGCTTTCATAGCCCACCCTGAAAATTTTCATAAATGCCCATAAAAAAATAGTGGCTGATTACCCTCTACTTCGCAACTCTCATCCCCCAAAAAAGCAGTTATCGCAGCCGCGGAGATTAAGAAGGGTGGAAACTGCAAGGCAGGCACATCACTAGCGCCGCGTATGTTCAGATGTGCCGTATTTGTGAATGCAGATATTGCTCGTGCTGTTCGGCGTGCAAAGCTCCATTGTTCTAGACATGAGAGTTGACCACTGTGCAACGTACCCACATAGCCTACTCGGAAGCCTGTCTGTTTTCTGAGAGAGCTTTCCAGCTACAAATAAATTCTAAAAGAATCGGGTCCAAGCAGGCCTTCAAGAACAATTTAACCTTTATAATTAACTTATATATCAAGGCTAAGGAGCACATAACTCACACAGTCCACAGCTGCACTTGTGAAAGACTGTACGTAGTCTTATGAGATTTCAGTGTTAAATGCCCTTTGCTTTCACGTGCGACAACTTCTTAGGTGGCAACATTCGGTTCTTTGCAGATTTCTTAAATGAAGTTATTAGCAACAAACCCAACTCAAGCATGTTTATAGCAATGTTATTCTAGTAACTGTAATACATATACACAGAGACAAGCACAGCAGCAAAACTAATGTGTGTAGCACATACCGTATTTACTCGCGTAATAAATGCACTTTTTTTTCTCGAAAAAGCAGAGAAAAGTTAGGGCTACATTTATTGCGTGGGTAAACTTTATGATAGCTTTTTCAGTAGAAGCTATAAAATGCAGTAATGCAAAAAAAAGTTAGATCCCTCAGCTTCTTTGTTGCACTTCACTCATTTTCGTTGGTTGAAGGAGCTATCTCCTGCAAGCTGTTCCTGCGTCGCTCGTGCATGCCATAAAAGCGTTTCAGCACTATCTTTTCTCGCAATCATTTAACCTCAACAGTATTATCTGCTGCGATCTCAAGGGGTGCCCAGAAGCGTGCGCTATGACACCCCGAAGCACTTAGCCACCTTCGTCGCAACCTTGCACGACGACCACGATGAAGCCGTTGACATCGTAGCAAGCAACTAACATTGCAGCAAACTAACACTGAAGCATCAAAACAAACCATCGATAACAAGATTAATGACAAAATACGGCGGCCGCCTCGCTTGCAACCGAAGTGAGAATCGGAGATGATGATGCGGAAATAGTCATGATATTTTCTGAGTGACAAGGGATTCCTTTGTGGCTTTTCAAAAACCTGCGTCAAGATGGCGACGAGTGGCCCTTTGAGACAGCCATAGCGACAGCAAATCCTGTCGCTGCTCGAAAATTGCATGCATGTGGTTGGGCCTTAATGTTTAGTATTTGCAGGAAGCGACCGTCGTTTGGCACGGGAAGTTTCATGACCTACGCTGGGTGTGTGCTTGTCGGCTGCAATGTCTCTATATTCGCACTATTCCTGAACCCCGCTGTGGTGCATAGATATTTAAAAAAAACTGGGTACGTGCCGTGCACAGATAGAAAAACTATACATCTTGAAATTTTCGCACAAGCACACAGGGACACAGAAAGGAAGACAAACGGGCACAATCTAGCCTTCCTAGAAAAAGAAATTTCGCTCATGTCTGTTAATCAATAATCTTGTTATCATTATTTGTGATCTGTGCGAAGTGCATTTGTTTTTTGGTGACCAGAGAGCGCAAATCCTAGGGGTATAAAGTGAAGGTTTTTCAAAAAATTAACCAGCTGTTAGATTGTGCTCGTTTGTCTTCCGTGACCCTGTGTGCTAGCGCAAAAATTTCAAGACGGATATATTCCAACTAGACTGAATCGCAATTGAATCGCAGTTTTGCTTCAAAAACTATACGATGTGCAGCAGTGGGCGAAGAGGGGGAGAGAGCAAGCTGACATGGCCGAGGGGGGTCAGCATAATAATAAAATAGAAAAGGTTCAACGGGTGCGAAGGCGCCAGGTGTCGGTTAGCGGGACTGCAGAGAACGAATGTAGAAAGTGTGGAGAAAAGAAAATCCAAATTTTGATGACTGAAGTTGGGAGTGCATTCATTATGCAAGTTCGTTCATTACAGGAGTAAATACAGTACATCTAAAGAAGGCACGAACCACATGTGCATCTTTAATCGGTTAACAGCAAGGAACATGCAAGCAATGAAGAACTAGAAACGCGACATATATTTGTAGGACTTATACAATGGATGAACAATACTTAATGCACAATAGGAACAGAAAAATGTGCGATGAGATGTAAGAAATAGTTGTAACACACAGCTTTATCCGAGGCATAGGTTGGCAAAAAAGTGGAGCTTCCTCAGATGTTCTTAAGAATGTATTTCGCGTTCATGGCTCACTCATCTCACCAAAATGTTCCTCAATCACACTCACAAAAATACTGATCAACCGGCTTCACTCATGATGGTGACGATGATTATGGCTTCCTCCTTCACAATGGGGGAACACTGTTACTGTGCTGGCTTCGAAAAAAAAAATCGACGAAAATCAATATCGTCAAAACGCACGACAAAAGCGAAAGATGTGCACATGGAGGCTTAGTTCCTAGGTCTGTTGTACAATCGCCCACTATTCAGAAAGACATCTTTTTGTGAATGCCACGGCGTATCGTCCCTGCACATTGTCTGTGCTGCCATCTTTATCAAGCACTTAGACACCCAAGCAGAGCAAGTGGGAGACTCACTATGCACAGGCTTCTGATGACAACGTCTGAACATCCTCAGTACGAAAAGCCTCTACTTTCGCCTTGAACAGGAGGCTGCTGCCAACCCTGTTATTGTGGAGACATGACCCCCCGATTTTCTCTTTGAAGGAAAGAAATGTAAATTTGATGGCTCATTTTTTTTTTTTGTTAGACACAGTATTAATGAGAACTAATAAACAAAGATAGCAAGGAAAGTACAGTGATGCCACCGAGGTCTTCTGATTTGGAACAATTTTTAGAGCAGTAAAATTTTCACTTTGGATTACTTTAGAGCAGCAAAAGTTTCTATTTTAGATCACATTGGCGCAAAAATGTTTTATTTAGGAGCATTTTGGAGCAGCAAAATTTTCCATTTTGGAGCAATCTGAAGCAGCTAACTTCACATCCTGATGAAGAAGCAAGTTGCATTTACATTCAAGGGCATGAATAATTATTTTGGGGGTCTTGTCTCCTGTCACGAGCTAGAAATATTTCCATTCATTTCGAATCTCATGAAGCCAGTCATCTTAGGAGCACTCCCTATTTCAGTTGATGATGCAAATATAATGGCATCATTATGTTTGCCCTTCTCAATAAACTTGTGATTATTTTCGTAGGAAATAAACAAAATACTGGTTGAATAAAATTGTATTTCATGAAATGACATTCTATACACCTATGTGGTTATCGTTTATATGGTAGACAGACGCTGTGATGTACAACACAAGAGACACTCACAGTTGCAACTGCATTTCCCTTAGACGCCTCCAAGGATGTAGAAAAGTTCTTTTTCTTCACAACCGATGACACTGCTGGGCTTAAGATGATGCCATTTAGCGAGTCTCATAAAGCCAACCTTCTCCGACACTCATCTTTCTGTGCTGAATCCACATGATTCAACAGACTTCGTTTTCTTTATGCAGCAATGTTTTATGTGCCTAGGGCATTCTGTATATATTCCAAAATCCCCTTGTAGGGTTTTAGAAAGCAGTGCATAAAGAAAAAAGAACCTCACAGGGTGCCTTATGCATACGCCTAAGACAACTAGAAGGCGAGAGTCTTCTCCTTTTTATTGCAGTAGCAATTACAAGGACACTCTCGACCAGTCTTTGCCATTGCCAGGGGTGTAGGTAAATTTTTTTTTATTCGGGGGGAAGTGCATTTTGATCTGAAGGGGGCATGTAAATGGTAATATTGAGCTATATATACGCCATAGCAAAAAAATATTCTAGGGGGAGGGGAACGTTCAAGTTCCCCCTCCCCCGCCTGGCTATGCCACTTGCCGTCGCCATCATGTTTTGTGTAATATTCCAATCGATAACATCCCCCATGCATTGTGTGTTTTACAAGTGGACAAAAGCGCGCGAACAGGGGTGACAAACGCAGCTAAAGCAGACATTAAAGAAGTTACAGTTTTGCCACAACGGCTAGGCAATGAGTGTGATAGCAACAACTTAGAATGTAACGCTGAGAACGGCAAGCAGATAAAAACACGGAATGCGCTGCTCATGCACGAAAACAACATACAGAGGGCGAGAGTGAACTAACAACATTTACCACTTGACGCTTCACGCACTGTTTGAACAAAATTGATGCCCAAAACGTAGCCACAAGTACAAATGAGTGCAAACTAACAAGTGTCTCAGTTGTTATACTTAGCTGTGTAAGAAAAGCGCGCTCTTTTCGCAAACAGGGCCTGTGTAGCCAGCGAAGTGATCTTTGTGTTGGGCCCGGCAACTAACGCAGTCATTTTTGGTGATAGCCAAAAGTACACAATTCTCCCCATTGAAGGGTAAGTGCGCGCGTACAAAAATCTCGCCCCCCCCCCCCCCCCAATTCGCGAGGTAATATACGTCGGCGCATCGTGATCGGCTAGGCGCTGAGTGTGGGCGGCTTTTTTTTCTCTTTCTTGAGTTTTCATATATATAGATACGTATACATATATTTGTTTGTTTTATATATCTCTTTGTTTCCCCCTACAATAATGCCCAGTTGGGCGCTGTAGGTATCTGAATAAATAAATTTTAAAAAATGGTGAATGAGGGCGCTGGCGGTGATGGAAAAAAACCCAGCCGAGACTGTCCATAAGCTATTGCAATAAAAGAGCCGGCCTACCTCCTTTGCACGGAGTGCAGATGCGATAGCATCAGCCTGTGTTCCAGGCCTTCCATCGATTGTTCCTTAAGCTTGAAAAATTGAATTGCTGCACAAACTTGAAGGAAAACTTAAGCAGAGAGGCACAC